TTCTTGTGTAAAATATCCTCAGCCACCCCAAGTTGGCGCAAGCTCGAGACTGCGTCAAAAAGGATGCTGTTGAAGAACTGTTGGGTTTCCTGTTGGTTCTTACTGATGTCTGAATTTGGCGTGCATTCCAAATACCTCAGGATGCGCAAGGCTGCGTCCGTACTCGATGTACGATGCGTAGTCGCCTTCTTTTAGGGAGCAAAGTAGCTGCCTTCTGGCGAAAACTTGTAGTCTTTATTGTCTATGATGGCCGCGCAGTAGAACTTATCCTGGATTGTCAACAGGGTTCGTCCATCACGTTACACGGCCTCTGTAGTTGCATTCTCTCGTGAGGTGGCTCAGAGGGCAAACTGGACGTCCTGTAACGCAAAAACATGCACCAGCGCACATAACAGGCCAGAGCTCCGATTTTAAGTACTAGGCGACTTTGAAAGACGCGTGCTTCACATATTTGTGGCGGATTAGAATGCCGGCTTGGTCAGAGGCCCTTTGTTTAAAACATGGCGGGATACTCGCAGCAAAAAGGCAAGCATGTGCCTTGTGGCTGTCAACATAATGCTTTTTTAATTACATTCTGTCATAATTAACAAAACCCGATCCATGTTTGATTGAAAATAATTGTACAAATCTGGTACCAGACAAACCGCTTTTAAAAAAACAAAAACACAAAACTAGTTTATGGTTATTTCTCATTAATTTCCTCATCAAAACAAATATATACTTTTATCAGTTTTCCCGTTTCTTTCAAAACATCCTTCATTTCCGGGCGTTTCACTGTAGTCAATGAAAGACGCGTTTTTATCGGTCTTCTTTTTCGCGGGAATATCAAAATTTCCATCTTTCAAACGCGATGAACCAAAGCTCGCAGGATACCAAAGCGCGCACGATGCAGTCCTGGTGTTTTGTTAGCACCCGTTAAAAATATTGAACGCCAAAACTATCAAGTTTTGGTACAGCGAGAGGCAGCTAGTTTTCTGTACCCAAAGATCAGTGCATGGACAGGCTATTGAAAGAAAATAAAAGGATGGTTGCCCAATGGATAGCAGGCCTCACTACGCAAAATAAATGTCTCATTGCATCCTTGTCTGCGAGGTTAGTACTAAATTTACACTCTAGAATACATTACTCAACTCAATCAGCAACACTTTTGCAAGTAGAATTGGTAATCGGTGGGGCAATTTATATTTCTAAGGGACGTCCGTCGCACAAAGGCTTGACGCGCGGGAGTTTTTTTTTAGTCAATGACTGACATAACAGTTTCCTCACAATCGACCCAGTTAGAATGCGATAATGTGCGCGCGTGAACTTTGCCTACAACTGGCAATAAGCTGAATAAACCGGAAGCTGAACACCATGAATAAGTTACTAAATTACATCGCTCAGGTTCTTTTCTTTTTTTTCAAGTACCGGAGGGTTTTCGTGCATTCTGTTGCGCAGTTTGGCAGTGAAATACCGAGCATCAGACAGGTAACGCACCGAAGCCACCATTTTACTCTTCTTCTACCAAACGGTTTTCCTGCAATGGTTTTAGTACTGGTCCTGTTGCCGAAACCTTGCACTAGCAAGATACGGTAATCGAGAGTCGAGAATCGAGAAATCGATATTGTACTCGGGACAAGAAAGGTCGCCGTCAAGGAACAACTGATGCAATGCAAGAGCTTCAAGCTGCTGAGAATCGCAATTTCTCGATTACAAGCAGTGAAGGAACTCCTGAGAAGCGTCCAAATTATAAAGGAACTTTGGAGGCCAGTCAGCCACGGTGATTGTCGCACCAGGCATAAAGTAGAATAAATTTGTTAGCCTTGTCTTGTCTTTGCCACAAGTCACGTAAAACTATAAAGAAGGTACCACTATGAACTCTGGAAAATGAAAATTCAATAATACTATGGTTGACGACTGACAGTTTAAAAGAGAGACAACCTTCACCTCAGAATCTTGGGCGCGCCGCCTGTAAGCTCTGAGGGAGGGAAGTCCCATAATTTGGCCTATTTCAAAACAAATGACACTACAAAAATAACCACAATTATAATTTCAAAAGAGACTACCATCACCTCAGAATCTTGGGCGCGCCGCCTGTAAGCTCTGAGGACCCCATAATTTGGCCTATTTCAGAAACAAATGACAATACAAAAATAACCTACAATAATGATTTGGATAAATGATCGACATTTTAAAAGAGACTACCTTCACCTCAGAAACTTGGGCGCGCCGCCTGTAAGCTCTGAGGGGAGAGGGTATCCTAAATCAATTTGGCCTATTTCAAAAACAATGACAATACAAAAATAACCTACAATAATAATTTGGATAAATGACCGACATTTCAAAGAGACTACCATCACCTCAGAATCTTGGGCGCGCCGCCTGTAAGCTCTGAGGGAGAGGGTAGCCCATAATTGGCCTATTTAAAAAACAAATGACAATACAAAAATAACCTACAATAACAATTTGGATAAATGACCGACATTTCAAAAGAGACTACCATCACCTCAGAATCTTGGGCGCGCCGCCTGTAAGCTCTGAGGGAGAGGGTAGCCCCATAATTAATTTCGCCCATTTCAAAACAAATGAAACTACAAAAATAACCTACAATAATAATTTGGGTAAATGACCGACATTTCAAAAAGAGACTACCATCACCTCAGAAACTTGGGCGCGCCGCCTGTAAGCTCTGAGGAGAGGTAACCCCATAATTGACCCTATTTCAAAACAAATGACAAAACAAAGATGACCTAAAATAATAATTTGGATAATGACCGACATTTCAAAAGAAGACTACCATCACCTCAGAATCTTGGGCGCGCCGCCTGTAAGCTCTGAGGGAGAGGGGTAACCCATAATTGGCCTATTTAAAAACAAATGACAATACAAAACAACCTACAAAAATAATTTGTATTATGACCAACATTTTGAAAGAAAGACTACCTTCACCTCTGAATCTTGGGCGCGCCGCCTGTAAGCTCTGAGGGAGAGGGTAGCCCTATAATCTGGCCTATGACACTAAAAAAATCACCTACAAAATTGTTTGGATTATGACCGACATTTCAAAAGAGACTACCTTCACCTCAGAATCTTGGGCGCGCGCCGCCTGTAAGCTCTGAGGAGGGGCAACCCTATAATTTGGCCTATTAAGTAAAAAACAAGTAACAATACAAAGGTAACCTGAAATAATAATTTTGGATTATGATTGACATTTCAAGCAGGCTAAAATGATTGATATAGAAACCATACTGTATCTGTGACCTTGATTATACAGATCGCCGAAGCGAACACGAAGATGTTGAAGTGGAAGCTAGAGTATCTGAAGTAATCCAGCGTCTTGGGCTCCTTCCAGCGAATAAGATTTTGGCGGGATTTCGACAGTGCTTGGCGGGCTATTTGGAGAGTGATTTGTCACTGAGAGCACATCGACGCTTACATCGTCTTCAGCCAGAGAAAAAAAGAATTAAATCCTTCGCCGTTTGATCAAAAGGTCGTCCATTGAATCAGATAATCGGTCTTGCTGTTCCTCAAGGAGATGTGAAGTAGAGCTCGAGCTCTCGTATTCGTTTTTCTCCGGCGACTATAAAAAATGCACCGTTGACGGCTTTTCTCAAACGTTCAAATAGAGAAGATTTAAAATTTCCTTGGTCAGGGTCTTTTCCACGCCGAGTTCCTTCCAAACCGGAGAAAGATGTGTCAGCAGAGAGAGTATTCCTACTTGTGGCTCCACAGTAAAAACTTGATACGCCGACTCGCTGTTTTCGCTTCGAAGGTCACCAATGTTGACACGGCATACTACTTTGACAGAAGTTAAATAAGCCATCGGAGCACTATTTTCTTAAAAAGAAAACACTTGAAAAACCATCGAAAGCGTATCAAGCCTATTTGAATCCAAATGCGGCGAGAAAAGTAGTTATCAGTTGCGAAGCCGAGGCGCGAAGATCGACTTCAAATTTTCAATCGACCGTGAAATGAATTTATAATACCCAAATAGTCTGATCAAATTTCGCGTTTCCTTGAGATGTCTGGTTCTTTTAATCAGAAGTACAAAGTTCCTTGACAGGCAATGTGTCCGGCGCTCCAAAAGGTGTCTGGAGGAATGCTTAAAACTAATTACCTTGTCTGTTATTGGAAACCGATTTGCGGTGGTTGCTGTGGAGATTAGGCCTCCTCCTGCGCGCGCACTAAAATCGGGCCTCTGGCCTGTTATGATTAAAACAGTGACGAAACCTATATACAGGCGGTTCGCTCTGACCGGACACCTCTAATTAACAATTATTCCACGAGTGCACGTTGGCTGTAATCATTTCATATCCAAACAAGCGCCAGTGGAATAATTGGTTTATAAAACGCCCACAAAATATCGAGAATTCTTTCCGACTTTATTTGTAAAAACAACCGATTATCAGTTTGTTTTTAATTTTGAGCAGACGCGTATGGTTACCATATTTGGAGAGCATGGCATAATGGCTCATATACCATAATGGCTAAATTCAATCAGAGCTCCAGAATTGCATTATTCAATGATTCAGGTTTTAATAATTACCTGATAATGATACCATTCTGAATAGAGAAACTGTCAGTTGGTAGCCCAGCTTGTTCCAGTCCCTTATCTTCACAGGGTCTCCCAAAGTCTCCGGTCACCGAGAAGTCATTCGAACAGGGATGTTGGTGTCACGGAAAGCTTTCACCATTCTGCAGTTTGTTGCTGAAAAGAAAACACTTCCCTTAAAACAAGAGAAATTATTAGTCTCGCTTGCGCAAGCAGCGAGACTCATAATCGGCAACGCGTTTTTCTTCGTATTTAGGACACAAAAGGGCAGTCACGTAAAAGAACACAACGAAGGCGTGAAAAAAGCCAAATTAAAAGGTATCAAGAAGACATAAACAAGCTCGGCAAAGATGGTTTTAATGTCGAGGTCAACTTGGATGAACTCGAGCAGTACGCGCGAAGAGACTGTCTCGAAATAACCGGTATTCCGATCGTACCTAATGACAGCCCTGCTTTGCTGGTGAAGGAAATGTCTGAGATTATGGGAGTGAACCTCAACGAAAACGATATATCGATCGCTCATTGTTCACCACCAACGAAGAAAGTGAAAGACCGACTAATTGTCAAGTTCACTCGTAGAGAGAAAAGAGCCGAAATTTACAGCAAGAGGAAAAACTTAAAATCTAAGCGGACGAAAGATCTCCCGTCTATGGTCTGCGAGCCGGAATCTGCGGTTGTAAGTCATACAGCACAAATTCATGTCAGTGAAAGCTTAACGCCATACAGAAAATAGCCTGCGTAGTATGGCGGTTTTGTCGAGCCGGGCGCAGGAGCGGCGTAGCCACGAAAAATTCGCGCGCGAAGCGCGCGAGAACGAGCGGCGAAGCCGCGAGAAAAATAAAAACCGCCTGTTCGGATTCGTGGCCTTTTCAACTGCCGCCCCCTTCAACTCATTTTGACATCCTGTTGACAACTTGTTTGGTTTCAGTTTTCCCAGCCAATCAGAAATAAAGTGTTGACAGCCTAAACACGACACAAAAGCTCGTGATTTTGTGTAAAACGTGACCTTGGCCGGAATTGGAGTTTGCTTGAACAGACACAGGTTTTTTTTTTGTGGCTATCTCGCGCATAGGTGACTACACTGCGCTCTAAACTTGACTGAGTAGATCTTACTTTTGCTGCACTAAGTCTTACATTTATTTATAGGTCATGAAGTTGGCTTGTTTAATCCGTATTGAGTAATTATTTCCTGTGGTTATTGTTAGTGTTGCTAATTAGAATTTGTTGATCTCAGATGCAGTTGTAAAGTACTAATTTCTTTGACCACTCTTAAACCCTAAAAGCTTTTTTATTACGGCTAAATAAATGTTTTAGTTTCTTTGGTCTTTTCCGACTAAAATGCCTGGATCTGGACAACTACAAACCAAGGAGCCTCGGTTTGTAGTTTCTTTGTCCGTGAATGTTTTGACGCTGGGCCCGGCTTTTTAAGTGTTGTTTGCAGGATGTTGTATTTTTACGTATGGCGCGATCTTCAGATTTGAGTTGTAGCTTAAACTTAAGCTACACCAAGCGAAAAAAGTATGGAGAAGTATGGAGTTCCACAGACTGCAATATGCGATTCATCGACCACAATCGCGGACAACGTGCGTAGTATTGCGCTGGAGTGCGTTATTGTCTAACACCGTGTAATAGAGAAAATTGAGGTGAACTTTCTCGAAGCAATGAATTTTACTGTTTCTGTCATAAGGTCCATTGTTGTACAGCTCAGCGACAACATTTCAGATATCTGGTCGTCGATAGTACTTTTTAGGGAAATTGTGATCATACAGGTTTTCGATGAGGATATTTCTTCTTTGGCCATAGCAAAGACAGTAAAGATCATGCTCTTGCCAAATCTTGTTGACAAAATTTCCATGACATCTCTCCTTTGAAGAAGACTGTAAATGGCCATTTCCTGTTTAGGCTTCAATACAATTGCCCTGTTTTCCCGTCAAATATTCAAGATCGACGACGCTCCGGTCAACGCTTCTTTGATATTTTGATTTTGTTTTGCGGAGATGATTTGTTCAGTCCCTCGAAACTCTCCCATGGGAGATTACCAAAATATTTGATTGACAAGCGAACATTCCGAACCAATCGGAACGATCCGTACGCTGGCGTACGGACCGACTCAAAAAAGCCCCCCGTCCGTGCAGGCGGTTTTTCAAGTTGCTCCCGCTCCAATCTCCTCGCGGTTTCTCTGCCCTCGCCCGCCTTTATTACTTAGTTCGCCCAACCAAAACCGCCATGCTACGCAGGCTATACAGAAAACGACTACTGGGCAGAATCTTACAATTCAAGCGCGACCACAACTACAAGTTTATTTGGACGGCTAACGGTAAAATAATGCTGAAAGAAAACGGAGAGCTCCACTACGAAATGTTTCGTAACCCATGGGGAATTCGAAGAGTTTCTTGACGAGCTCAATTAATTAGCTATCAGTTTAATGACTTCTATAAACTTATATTATTACGGAGGCAAAAATGGCTGATTACCAGGAAAACGTAAGTAGTTGTTGACCATTTTATGATTTAACTGATAGAGAATTTCATGCTATGGTTGGCAGCTGGCCGGATAGGCGTCATGATCTTGACCTTTACGATCTCCTCCCAAATCCAAATAAATTCGACGAGTGCGACCCAGATTTAATGTAAATTACACCCTGCTCAGAATATTATTCAGTCCGTAGCTTTAATAAAATGCTTGTAAATTCAGACGCAAAGTCTTTTTCAATTCTTCACTGTAATACTAGAAGTTTATCTAAATCTATTAGAAGAACTATTATGCTCCCTTGACTCCAAGCTGGATATACTTGGAATTACAGAAGTTAAATTAAGTGAGAAGTCTATTTCTAATGTAAATTTCAAAGGCTATAATTTTTTTCCCACGGACTCGCCAACAAACGCAGGTGGAGCTGCTTTATATATAGCTAATAATCTTAAAGCTGTACCTAGGCCTGACATTAAATTTGACGTAGCGCTAGTTGAATCCTGCTGGGCAGAAATTGATGCTGGTTAAGGTAAAAAGAAGATCATAATATAGGTTGTAGCTACAAGCATCCCACTTGTAATTTAGAACAGTTTCGCAACCAACTAAATGATATAATCAAAACAATTAATCCCAACAGACACGAAATTTACATCTTTGGAGATATGAATATAAATTTCCTGAAATTCAATGAACATACTCAAACTGAAGAGTTTTTAGATATGCTTTAAGCCAATAACATCTGGCCGATCATTACTAAACCTACGAGGCCTACTGATCACACAGCAACACTCATTGACCATATATATACAAATTGTTTCCAAAATTTCACAGCAGGAATCCTGAGAGTTGATGTAACAGATCATCTTCCGATTTTCTGCTCAGTCAGAACCCAGCCTACACGGAATAATAGTAACAAAAAATATTTTCGAGACTACTCTAAATTTAATAAAGATCTATACTTAGATGATATAAAACTGATTGATTGGCACGAAATCCTCAACCCAGAAAAGAATCTAAATGAAAAGGTACAGGAGGCAATCAATACCCTGAATAAAATTGTAGACAAACATGCGCCTATCAAGCTGGCCAGCCAAAGCAAGTACAGGCAACTTAATTTTTAA